CTCCAGTCCTGTGTCATTATCTGATCCTCAGGAACTTCAATTACCTTTCCTTTTCAAAGGAAATCACATTGGTTCATTATGTTTATAAAATTATATTGATTACACATTGAGCAGGAACTAGCAGCTATTCTACATACATTGGTAAAACAGCACAGATGTTGTTTGGAGCACTTGACCAGACCCATGGGTGAATCACGGTGCAAACTCTCAGAAGTTTGGAGCAAACACAGGACATCCTATGCAGATAACTGCTTTCCTTTTAAGAAACCACTTTTGGCTTGCAAAAGCAAAAATGTCCCCTAGAGGACTAAGGTGTGCCTGACCCAAGCCATGACATTTTCAATCACCTAATATGCATGCAAAAGCTGGACAGTGAATAAGGAAGACTGAAGAAGAATTGATGCCTTTGAATTATGGTGTTTGCTAAGAATATTACCAGAAGAACGAACAAATCTGTCTTGGAATGCTCCTTAGAAGCTAGGATGGCAAGACTTTGTCTCACCTACTTGTGACACGTTATCAGGAGGGACCAGGCCCTGGAAAAGGACATCAAGCTTGGTGAAGTAGAGGGTCAGTGAAAAAGAGAAAGATTCTCAGTGAAATGGACTGACACAGTGCCTGCAACAATTGGCTCAAAAATAGCAATGACTGTGAGAATGGCGCAGGACTGGGCAGTGTTTTGTTCTGTTGTACGCAGGGTTGCTATGATTCAGGAGCAACTCGACAGCACCTAACAACTACAACACTAGGCCTTAGTAAAGACTGAATGCTTGACCATTCAGTCAATTTGGTCCACCAAATTACCATGTTATCTGAGTTCATTATTATGAACTAGGTATTGTATGACCCACCAAGCCATAATGTTGGGCATGCACAGCAACTCTCCAACATCAAATGGAAGTGGCATATAAGAAATCTGGATTGAGAAGCCCACATAAGTAAGTCATAATAGAAAGTAACCCAGATGCCCATGGCCCTTTTTCAGCTCAACCTGCATGTATGACTTCATGGGGAGTCCCCTATGACCTGTAGATTCAGACTAGGTTTACACATGGTTCTGCATAACATGCAGGCACCACCCAAAAGTGGACAGCTGAATCACTACAGGCCCACTCTGGGAAAGCCCTGAAGGATGATGGTGAAGGAAAATCCTCCACAATGTGAGTAGAACTTCGAGCAGGGCATCTGGTTGTTCATCTTGCCCGAAAAGAGAGACAGCCAGAGATCTACATTGATCCACAGGCTATAGCTAATGGTGTGGCTGAATGGTAAAGGACTTGGAAGGAACACACTTGGAAAATAGATGAGAAGAAGGTCTGGGAAAGAGACATGTGCATAGACTTCTCTGAGTGGGGACAGAATGTGAAGATGTTTGTGTCCCGTGTGAATGCTCATCAGAGGATGATCTCATTAGAGGAGAATTTTAATAATCAGGAATATAGGATGACCAGTCCTGTGGATATCAGTAAGCCTTCTTCTATAGACACTCCTGTCATTGCCCAGGAATAAGGCTATGCAAGGGCTCAGCAACATGGACTTCCATTCACCAAGGCTGATCTGACTACAACTACTGTTGAGTGACCAATCTGTCAATACCAGAGGCCAGTACTCAGCCTCCAATATGGAAGAAGAGGATTATGGTACTGGTAGGGCTAATCCTGATTACCAAGAGGGAAAGAAGATGCTACTACACAATGGGGGAAGGAGAATTACATTTGAAATGCATTAGATCTTCTAGGGCACCTCTTAATACTCTCATGTTTTGTGATTAGAGTCAATGAAAGCTACAAGAACCCAATTCAGGAAGGACTGCCCATGGCCCAGACCCTTTAAGAATGAAGGTTTGGGCCACCCCACTAGGCAAGGAACCACAATAAACTGGGCTGCTTGCTGAGAGAGCAAAGGGAATATGGAATAGGTAGTGAAGAAGGTAGGTATAAATACTAGCTAAAACTGTATGCATAAACAAGAACTAGAATAATTATGAGTATCTCTTTTTTATTTTGATTTTTTATACATGTTAAGCAAATATTTTTGTTTTATTCCCTTCTCTCATCCCCTTATCATCTAAGATAAAATGTGTTAATAGTAGTCAATTTTATAGCTCATTATTTAAGCTATAGGATATCCAAAAGGGGATATAAACAAGCTAGAATAAGAATGAATATTCCCCAAAAGCAAAAAAAAAAAGGAATTTTATGTCTTCTTCTGGGGAAAGGATTAGCATGTTTTTTGGTAGTATTCAGGATAACTGTATTGTGTTAGGTGGAAACCTGTCTTAATTATTGTCTTTATTTGGAGATTAGGATGGTTTAAGTAGATATATATGTGTGCCAGGTTGTTAAGGGGTGGACTGTGGTGGCTTTGTAATGTGTCAGCTTGACTAGGGTGACCCACATTTCCGAGAATTCCTTTTCCTGTATATTTCTCATTAGGATAGACCACAGAGATTCTTGGGGGAGATTTGGAGGGCAGAAGTGAAGCAGTAGCTATTTTGCACCTTATACATATTGTCACTGATATGCTGACTCACTGAACTACAGCAGCCAGGCCTACTACTACTTCACCTTCCCCGGGATCCTCCTTCAGCTTCCCAGATGTGATGGTTAAGGTTGCCTGGGCCATGATTCTCAGTGGTTTGGCAGTTATGAAGTAGCTTGGCAGCTGTGTAATGATGTAATCGTCTCCATAACGGGATCTCATATAATGTAATCACCTCCACAATGAGATCTTCTACAAGCAGTCAATCAGTTGAAAGAGAATTTCCTTGGGGGTGTGGCCTGCGTCCAATATATGTGGACTTTCCAGCAAAGCTCGCTGGCTCTTGCTCACTTTGGATCCTGCATCTGGCTCATCATCTGACCTCTGGTTCTTGGGACTTGCGCTAGCAGCTTACCTGCTGATCTTGGGATTTGTCAGCCTCCACGGCCTGTAAGCCAGAGGACTGCCTCTCTCTCTCTGTATACATATATACTTCACTGGTTTTGTTTCTCTAGAGAACCCAGTCTAAGACATTTGGTACTGAGAGTGGTTCTAGAGAAACAAAATTATAAGGATGAGTTTTCTAAATTGGTTCTCAAGTCTGGTTAGTCTTAAAGATGTTGATGACTCTGCTTCCAGTAGTAAAGAGGGCAGTGCTAATGTACGGCATGAAGTGGCAATAGAAATACACAAAATATCACCACCAACAGATCATGTATTGGTGAGAGGTGAGGCTCTAGGTGATCGCATATTTGATACCTTTCAACAATTTTGTCAGAATGAAAAATATAAGCATCGTTGGTTTTGCTTCTCTAGAGACCCCAGTATAAGATACCAGACTTCTGGACCAGGTGTGTGTGTTTAGCATCATGACAAACAGCCGAATACTGAAGGACGCCTGCACCACAAAGTTTGGAGGCAACAAAAACTGAAATGGGTGTCAGTCCATCCTTGTGAGGCTCTAGTTAGTGCTTGTTTTTCTTGATCTTCCCTACTTTACATCAGTCTGTCCTTTTCCTAGCTGCCTGTCCGGTAGACTTTAAGCTCCAGGTGCAAAGACAATAGCCTTAGCGAGACAGCTTAACCAGCTTCCACAATTGTGTAAGGTCACTTCCCTATAACAAATCATACATATAATCTAGTGGTTCCTCTTCTCTGACTGAACCCTACCTACTACCATAGCTCAGCAAGGAGAAACAGTGCCATGGTCCAATGAGTTTGGGGTTAACGAAGTTACATGAACATATTTTATTTACTGCAAAAATTTTCAGTGCCTTTAATAAGCTAATGTACATTGTGAACTTCCAAGAGGAGGAACAGAGTAAGCTGTGTTCCCCAAATTTATCTGAACACTAACCTGTTGCCACTGAGTCGATTCCAACTCATGGTGGCCCCATGTGTGTCAGAGTAGAACTGCACTCCATAGAGTTTTCAAAGGCTAGTTTTTAGAGGTAGATTGCCAGGCCTTTCTTTCAAGGCACCTCTAGGTGGGTTTGAAACTCAAACCTCCAAACTTTAAGTTAGCAACTGAGCATATTAAGCATTTTCACCACCTAGGGACTCCTTATCTGAACTCAGAAACTTTTTTTTTTTTTTTTTTAATGCAGTAACTCAAAAAACACTTGGCAGCACTGTCCATCAGCCCTGTGACGCTAGAGTGAAGGTGAAGGCTAAGAGCCCAAGGCTGCTCAGCTGCTCCACTCCCTGACTACCAGGCCTTGTTCTCTTGTTCAAGACTGTTTAATTAACTCTCAACAATGCAACAAGCAGTTTTTACTCCCCAAGAGCATCACACTATCATTTCATATTATAACCACTCCATCATATTTACAAATTGGCCTACTGTCAAGGATCTGAGGCTATAAAGAGACATAACTTTATTTAGGTAACAATAATAGGTCATAATAATGCTGGGCTAGATGATATACCTTTCCCCTTCAATTTTTATTTTCTTTTTGTAAAAATTTTCTTCTTAGCACCCCTGTGAAGTAACACAGATCTCCTGCAACAAAATGGTACAACAAAAAATTATATAACAACATGAGGTAGAGACTGATCTTTCTCAAAGTCCTTGCTCGATCAGCTGTTGAGATGGATTCGGTTAGGCCTATATATCCCTGTCCACCAGACTACCTTGGATCGGGACCTGGCAGCTCTGCCGATAGCAACCACTGGCATGTTTCTCGTACTAGAAACCACCGACAGAATTGCTGCACATGCAACAGACAACTAAGACTTCTTCTGCCCCATGAAAATGAGCACCTCGAGTGAAACCTTTCATGAACAACACTCCCTGCTCCCAGGCCACTTCTTTGCAGCACGATACTACCTAATTTAGCCTGGAGGATTCAGGGCACAAGCCATTTCCAAAGCCTCACTCCCTCAGAGGCTCTGCAGATTTTTAAGAAGAAACAAAAGCATTTGCTGAGAACTCAATTTAGTAGGAGCGAATAAGAGCTGGCCTCTAGGTGCTGCCACCCCAGCATTGGGATGAGTTCTCTCACATAACTCCATGGTACCTGTGCGGGACAGCTTCTGCAAGGTGGCCCTCAGATGCTGCAGAACGGCCGGCGAAACTTCATATTGGTGTATGTCTATCACCGGAATCCTCTGGCATCTTCCAAACACTCCATCTGTAAAAAGAGCAGAAGGAGAGAAGAAAGAGAAAGTGACATTCCATTCTCAGAGAAGAGAAACATACTATACATATACTTAAAATATATTCTAATTATGCACAGTAGTGAGGCTTTGGAACATGGCTTTAAAAAGTCATCAAAGAGCTATTAGAACTCAGAAGCACCAGAAGGTAATGGTTTACTTAAATAAAAAACAGTGCATCATGGAAAACACAAATTTGAAGGTGGAGAGAAAAGGATTTATTAATCCAGGATAGTTTGAAGGTTTTTAGTTTACTTTTCTTATCCCTGCCTACCCTGCCCACCCCCCACCACAATCTCCTAGGTTTTTGTAATTTCCTTCCCTTGGCGTTCACGTTTTTTGATGTGAAGCTTGCTTCTGACAATTCAGTGACCAAAAAATCTTGATAACATTCAGGGCCTGTTTTCCAGATAAAAACCAGAAGAACCAGAAAATATAAATATGAATTTGCTGAAGCCATGAGGATTTGTTGGAATATCTTTAATGCAGGCGTTGTGTGTTAGGCGTCCAGAAATGAGGGCTGAACCCGGAATGGCCTGTGAAGGCTGATTTCAAGGCAGGCTTTCTCATGAATGCAATAAAGTGAGCTGCTCACAGAACAATGAGATATTAATGGGGACTAATTCATTTAGCTCTATTCCATTTGTCTAAAATGACAGACTCTTCTCATCAACATCCTTTCAAACCACACCTTCTAATTAATTTAGGCCCTAATTAGTTTTTATTTGGCAAATTGTTCATTTCGAGACAAGCTTCCTGTGGGGGGTTCAAACATTCAAATTACCTTCTCTCCTACACACAAAAGACTAATTTAGTGGCTTGTGCTTCACACACAGGGCTGCCATCTGCAGTTTTAGGCCTCGGGTAGAAGGGAAAATGGTTTCTTTTATTGTTCACAACAGTCTCGGCACATACAGTATCGCCAAAGAAAGCCATTCAAATGCAACAAGTTTAATTAGCAGAAACACATTTTGTCTAGTGGCTGGCTGACTCAGTAATTGCAGGTCTGATATTACATATATGCTTAAGACCGATGCGCCATCTGATTAGCAGAAAATAATCTTAAGTATTGCAAGCATTTCATGGATTTTCTATGGGACTTTGCAAAGCCCAAAGACAACTTGCCCAGCTGCTCAAAGCAGGCAGACAATAGGCACGGAGAAGATAAACCTTTGGCCATTTTTTCCCTCCGTGCTGGGCTCTACCACGTTGCCCCTTCTGTCCAAGGTCCATGCTGACATTAATGCAACTGTTCAATAAACCGAGAATGGGCTGTCCTCCCACTGCCACCACCCAGCATGATGAATAGTCTGCTTGGCAGGAACACGGACAGAATAAATGTTTAATATGGAAGGACTCAGTGCATGCCTGGCTTTGTGTTGTGGGGAGGGGGAGAGGAAAGGCAGAAAGAGGGAGAGGGACAGTGGACAAAAGAGAGAAAAATAATGAACTCCTTAAAACATACCTAAAATTTTCATTTTATGTTTCACATGTAAATATCTTGAAAGTAGAATCATAATATGTAGGAACTAAAGGGAACACTATACCCCTAATGCTCCTTTGAAGGACACTTCAGCTTGCCTACCTTGGACACATCATCAGGAAAGACTTATCGCTAGAAAAGGGCATCATAGTTGGTAAAGTAGAGGGTCAATGAAAATGAAGGAAACCATCAGTGAGATGGATTGACACAATAGCCACAATGGGCTCAAACATACCAAAGATCAGGAAGATGGGCAGGACCAGATTTCTATAAGGTCCCCGTGAGTCACAGCTGACTTGAGGGCAACTAACAACAACAGAAGAAATAGTAAGATTATGCAAATGCCATATTTTACAGATGAAAAAACAAAAGCGTGAGTGTCTTGACCATGACCACACAGGTAGAACTGAGCCAGGAAGGAATAGAAACCAAGTTCCTTGGTGCCTAGGCAGGGGCACTTTACAGCAGACCATCAAAATCCTGGGTCAGGGCTAACCCTACATTCCCATCCCTGCAAACAGAATGGGAGGCTACACACTGAGCCAGAAACTACTGTATTAACATTCAGTACAGCAGCATAAACATGTTCTCTGCTCCATCCCCCAGTACTATGCCTGGCTACCAATAGCTTATATGGCACTCCTGTGCAAACTAGAAAAATGCACCCTTTCTGGTGGATGTGCCAGGTGGGCACAGGGCTTGGCCAAACCCAGATGGATTGCAGATTCCACTTGTCCACTCATTGGGCGTCTTTGTGCAGTCTGTAGTTTGGTCACTCTGAATGAAGTTGGTAGTCAATGCAAAAGAAACATGTCTTTGGGAACTTCCAAAGATCTTACCACTGGCTGAGAATCACCTTCCTAAGAAAACTTGTAAAATCATTCATACTGTCATTAAAAAAAAAAGACATTTCTTATCTATTCTGGAAGTTTCGAAGTAAATTATTTCTTTATTATGGCATCATTTATATTCCCAGATTATTTATTAGATTTTCTTGAAACCATTTATAAATATATTTAGAATATATATGTAATATAATACATAATATTGTATATGTTTTTAAAGTTAGTTTTAGGTAATGATTTTTTTTAATGATTGGAAAGTTGAAAATAAAGTAATCATTGATTCTCTTTGCACCTGGACTATATCCATGCTGATCAGATGGAGACAGAAATTTTCCCCAGTGCATTTTTCAACAATGGAATTCATGTATATCACCATACCTAAAGGACACCACAATATGGTGTTCTTTATTCTAATTAAATATATATATATACATATATATATATATATCAGCAATAAGGCTTGTTAATGGTGATAATGACCAGAAATAAAGAGCCTTGAAGATTCCACAGATGTTCTACACATAGCCATTGCCATCCTTCTTGATTTTAAGAGCCTTCAGTTTGCCGGGTTTCCTCATTTTATATCTGCTGTGAAACAGAACGTTAAAGAAGTTCATAAATATTTTGGTAGAATTGATTTTTAGTGGCCAAAATTTTTAAGCCATTGCTTTGTTCCTCTTTAGCTAGTAGGTAAGACCATAAAGGGGTTTCTAAGAAAATAATGAAGACTAGGAAAAAAAAAGACTGAAAAAGGAATTAATTCTTTAAAGCAGAAGGTTTAACTGTGACTCCCAGACATGTGGAGTCAGGGTGATGAGTGCATCAAAGTTGCTGGTGGTTGGCAGTGGAAGAAACAAAGCTCTCACAAATCCAGAGGGGGAGGGTTCCCATTGTTTTAGAAGGCTTAGGCTCTAAAACCATCACTAAAAGTGACACAACCTGAATCATTTGGCAGACTGGCTGTCTAATCACTCTCAAAATTACCTAGAGTCTTTCAGGACCATCCCTACATTGAACTTGCCTTATGAGTCTTGCCCATGCCGCCTGCTCCACTAGCCTCAGCATTCCCAGAACACTGATTGACAAGATTCCATTTGACATTTGATCGTTCAGTGTCTCCTTGTAAACTCTTGCCTATTTTGGCTTTTTGTGTAACTTTTCTATGCCCATGGTTCTGCATCCCATCAAAATAATTTCTTCATCTGAATCTGGAGTAAGCAATCCAGCTCAACAATATTGAGTGTATGTGGGGTCCCCTTAATAAATTCAAAGCACATTGCAATAGAAAGCAGTCAAGGTAGCATACCTTAGAGTTTATGTGTCTATTTATGACTCTCAAAACCTAAAGTTCTTCTCTTCTTCAAGAATTAACATCACAAAAATGGCTTTGGTTCTGAGTTTCACAACTGGAAATCGTGTTTAAATTGGGAGCATCCCAGAAAATGTTGTTGTTGTTAGTTGCCATGGAGTTAACGCCAACTCATGGTGACCTTATGTACAACAGAATGAAATGCTGCTCAGTCCTCGGGCATCTTCATGATTGTTGGTATGTTTGAGTCCATTGTTGCACCCATTGTGTTCATCCATCTCACCAAGGGCCTCCCTCACCTTCACCCACCCTCCACTTTGCCAACCATGATGTCCTTTTCTAGCGATTGGTCTTTCCTGATGGCATGTCCAAAGTAAGTGAGCCGAAGTCTTGACATCCTCGTTTTTAAGAAGCATTCTGCTTGTACTTCTGCTAAGAAATAGAGAATATAATGGGTCTCGAAACTATGGGAGATAAGAACGGGCTTGCCTATTAAAACTGTAGATTCTCTAATCCCTCCATCATCGCCTATGTATATATGTGTGTGTTTGTGTGTGCGTGTGGTGCGAATGATTACTTTAGTGTAGTCTTTTTAACCATGGTCTTGTAACTTCCATCCAAGTGATTGGGCAGGACTGTGCAAGTAAGATAAGTGTGCCCACCAAGGGGATTGGTAAGTTTTGCTTTAAAACAGAGCCAATTCCAGAGCAAAGAGAACATCCACCACCACCAAGGGAAGGAGAGACTGGCAGGAGAGACCTGGCGGGAAAGATCCGGCAGCAGAGACCCAGCAGCAGAGACCCTGCAGCAGAGACGGCATGGTGGGCTTCCCAGCGCATGGAGAGAGAAATCTGAGTGCCTTTGGGCAGAGGCCTAGGGCCAGGTAGAGGCGTGCCTCTGGGCATGGCTGGGAAGAGGCTGTCTTGATGGAAGAACTGTATTCTGAGTGTTTCTGAATCTGAATTGTAAACTGTTACTTCCCTAATAAACCCCATAATTGTGAATGTTGTGAGTTCTATGTGGCCATTGCAATAAGTTATGAACCCAGCAGAGAAGTAGAGAGTACACTGGGAGGGACAGTTGGTATCAGTATTGGTAAAGATGGCAGAGAGAGGAGACATGTCTGACCCTTGCCTCACAGGAATTAGCCATGGGCTGTTGATACTGATTTTCCTTCCCCCTTGTGAAGTTAGAGAAGATCACAAGCTGCCCCCATGCTGTTCTTAAAGTTGATGTCAGGAGTGGAATTCGAACCCACACCTCCAGTGAGCAGCTGGGTAGCCACACTATACTTTTCAGCAGACAGCCCAAGGCTGTATGCATATAAATGGGAAAATAGTCAAGGGGTGGAGAAGAGAAGACAAAACCAGAATGTTTTAAAAAGGGTTATGTGTTTAGGATCATGTGTTCATCTTAATGTACTATGGATATTGAATGTTTCTCCTACCTAGTGTTGTACAGCACACCTGAATTTATGATAGAAATGAACATTGGGTATTATAGATTACAGAGAGCCTGTAACGTTGCCTTCAGCCAGTACTTGATTGGATATGCTAAAAGGGGAACTAGGATTTGCCCGAGGGAAACACAGGCTGCTTCAATGCAGTAGCCCTGTGTATAGAGTGCGGACAGGTTGAGAACCTGAGCCCTACACAGATTTGCATTTGAAAAGACATGTAGAAGTCCCAGAACTGCTGAGAGAACTGGAGATTTGCATTTGAAGGCAAGACCTACAGAAGGAAAAAAAAAAAAAGTGACTGTTTTGCTTTTTGAATTTCAAGCAAGTGGTTTGCTGTTGGATGCACTGAGGCAGGGGAAGTCACTTCCCATGAGAAGGAACCCTCTTCTAGGGCTGGAAGTTTAAGGGAGCTGGTGAGTAGACAGCTTAGTCTGCTCACTTGCCTTGACCACCTGAGTCCACTCAATGAGTGGAAATGGGAGGTGCAACAATGAAGAGATAGGCTGAATTTGGACATGTTCTATTGACAACCATTGACCCAACCCACAGGGACGAGGGATGAGAGTGAGAGGAAGGGCTGGCTTGTCAGAAGTAAAAGGAGTTGTTGGACTCCTGAAGTTTACAGGTGGAACTTGTTGACCTAGCCCAAGGGGTCTAAGGATGAGAGTGTGTGAACGGGCTGTCTGAAGGCCAGGAGGTGTGTGAACTCATGAGCCTGAGGCTGCTACCCATTGTGACCCAGCTTGGAT